ATTGCTACTGGAATACTCCATTACTACTGGAATACTCCTTGATTAAGCGTTTAATGACAATGATACACATGAAACAATTAGCAAAAAAATTTTTCAACCCATACATAATTAATAGGGAAGTTTGGTATACAGTAACTTTGTAAATACCAAAAATGAAATATTTGGGCGTTATATAGATAGTCATTTATTCCAAAAAATCTGATGACATACAATTTAAAATATATAGTTATATATATTTTTATAAAGTATGAGTATTGAGCACCGAAATTGTATGCAACTACAGCGCAAGAGAATTCCGTCGAAATTTATATCTTCAAACAACGGAATATGGGCAATAGTGCCTAAGGTAATGTATTCGTTCAAAATAATACAAGAATTAGGAATTCTTAATATGTAATTTGCAATTAAAATGTACATAACTGCATGATATTAGCATTGGAGGGAATGCAAATGGATCGTTCTTTATGCTCAAGTCATTTGTTTTAGTTGTTGTGTGAACATGCAGAAAAAAAATGACTTAAATTTAAGGAAATTCTGTAATAGATATATTATTTCGTGTTTTCTGGCTATATTTTTAGCGCATTTTCTCATTTATGGAATAAATGCACTATTGTGCTCGCCATGTTCGTCCGTCCGTCCGGCCGTCTGTCCGTCCGTCTGTCCGTGACCTCAAGTTTTCATCGACGAGAAAATGCGCTCTCTGTCACTCACTGCAGTGAGTTCTGAGTTATATTTTTTCATTTTTCGCAGGGAATCACCAATCTGCCTTATAACAGAATGAAAGATCAAAATGACAGGAATAAAAAGTTACGTCGAAAAAAAAACGTTTTTCATTTGCGTATCTTGAACGAACTTTAAGATTCTCTAGCTTTACTGAATATTCAATATAAATTTCACGGAGAAATTTGGCATAAAAACTGGCAACGAATACGTCCTCCAAAAAATTTTCAGGCATACCAAACATTCACCAATTGTCATATTATTTAATTTCAATGATTTATTCGACTTCGGTTATATGGAAGCAATTTTAATTACCGAGTAGAACTGACCGTTATTTTTTTTTTTACATTTTGTTTAATTTTTTCAGTCACCAAAGGAAACATTCGTGAAAACAATTCTTGAACTTTTCGAGCAAAAATTAAAAAAATACCATAAAAATGCAGTGCATATTTTAGTTTATTCTAGAGTAGATTACTGCAAAGATTACCAACTTAAATTAATGCTTGACGGAACTACGACATTTTAAAATTATTACGACGCAATAAAAATTGTTATGCCAGCTCTACTTTGGTCCTCAATTCAAGTTCTTTAATATCTTATACACGACGATCCCTAAAGTTGCGCAATGCACTCGCGCGATGTTATTCATGACAATTACCAAATGGCAAATGCTATGTTGTCAAAAATTTCAATGCTCTCTGAACTTTAATTAATATGATTCATGTTTTCAAGCTTTATTAGAAGTTTATTTCTTATTGGAAACTGAAAAGCGTACATGGCTCAATGAGGTATAACTTTAAGATTTATATACTATCTGTTGAGAGTAACGATCGTAAATCACTTCATGAAGCTTCGTAATGAAATGTCATAAGTCACACCACGAAAACTGTTTTTTTTTTATTTACGAAGGTATAAATACTGGAATCCATGCTCACCTTCATCATTTTAGAACGTCTGCTCGATCTTGAATCACTCACAAGACTGAATACAATGGATGTTGCTGGGTAGATTTACCTGCCTAATGTAAGGTTAGCTAGGCCTAAGTTGCTGACCAAAAGCTTCAACGCTGACACATTTTTAGAATTCCAGCCAGATTAAATGACCATCTCTCGCCAGGACTTGTCGGGAGTACCTGGTTCCCTGCACATTTCTGAATGTTGAATGTTCGATCCAGAGTTACAAGAGCATAACATTCAGTGATATCAAGTGTTTGGTCCAGAGTTGCAGGGGCACAAAATTCAATAATATTAAATGTTCAGTCCAGAATTGCAGGAGCCCAACATTCAGTAATATTATTAAGTGTTCGGTCCAGAGTTGCATGAGCATAACATTCAGTAATACTAACTGTTCGGTCTTGAATTGCAGAAGCACAACATTCAGTAATGTTGAGTGCTTATTTTGAAGTTACTCGAATTCAGGAATGACCGTAATAAGAATAGGTGAATTCATGTCATATTAGTTCGAGTTGGGATCAAGTTCCGTCTTTTTAAATACCCTGAGCTAGTTTTTTCATAAAGTTGGATGTACATCGGGTATAATGATTTTTTGTAATCCATATTAAATTTAGACCTATAAATCTAATATTATTGGAACTGACTGTAAGTTTGGTAAATTTTTACAGTTACGTTCAAGATTGTGTTTTCAATTACAAAGTAAATACCTTGCTTAGAAAATTCTTTTAAATTATCCGTGAATCTGCAAGTTTATGAAGAAAATTGAACAACGTAGCATTTTATATTCTAAACAATATTTTTTTGGCATAATAGCGTCACAAAGTTTGTATGAAAGAAATGGAAAGGATTCGGTTCGGTTAATTTCCTATCCAACATCTATCACTTAAGTTAGAACGTATAGCAGGCTTCTGGCTTCATATAATGTCGATTGAGAGTTAATTTCTGGTTGCGACGTTGATCAACCGTAATTAACAATCAAAGCGACTTTTAAAAGTGACAAGAAAGAAGAAATTTAACTTGAATTCAACATTGACTCCGCTTCGATTTTCGATTAATGTACGTAATTATTCATTACCGTCCGGTCAGCCCGGCTTTGTTCGAAGTACATTATTTTAAATAACTTGGAAATTTTATTCTTCCAAGTCCAGTTTATTCCAGTTTTATTTCCATATCATGATTAAGAGTAATGATCCTAATTGAAAAGCTACTATGTCTCATGCAAGTTCTCGCATCAACGAAGTACGTTATTGGGAAATCACTTCCTTTATCTATGTTAGTAACTTAGTTAACAACATTTAAGCGTTGAAAAAAGGGAACACAGGAAAATTTAGGTTAATAAGTGCATTCAAATACCTTGACAATCGTTTGACATGCAGAGACAACAGTTAAATACTTCTCATAAATTTAGTTATTCGATTTACTGAACCAAGATGAAATATATTCATTTACTAGCTCAACTTGGACCTAATTAAACGCCTAGCGGTTTATATGAATTAATTGCCGGTTATTAGAGGTTGGAGTCACGAATAATTCATAAATGTGAAAACCCCTCTGCCTGGAATTTAAATAATAATTATCGGTATATACATAAAATTTTCAGAGAATTTGAAACTCTTGCCTTCATAACTGGAGTCAAATAGTCAGGAAAATTATATTGAGCGCGTATCCTCCGTAAAAAGATAAATGCCCTTAAATTATTTTTCCATTCTTCATTTAATTTCCTTCAATTTGTACAGTTTAGATGTGCATATCAATCAGCTCGGCTAATCTCCTTGTGAAATAATTTTTTCACACGGAGTACCAGTACCACTATCAATAATTTTTCAGTACCACTACCAATACCAATTATTGTGGTACTGAACCACAGTGTTCAGTACCACTATCAATAATTTTTTTGTGGTACTGAACATCGATTCTAGGAGTTTTTCTTTGTTAATACAATGCTATTGTAAAACATAAACTAAAAAAACATTAACATGTGTAACTGAGCAGCATTCTTTTTCTTGCGTGTATCAAATTTTAGCGGATTGCGTTCAATTGTTTTTCAAAACATAAAAACAAAATTTTCAAGATCCACTAAAAATTTCAAATTGCTTGATTTTACAGGATTTCTCACCCATTGCCATAATCTGTTCAAGTTTTGTGACGGTTCTGTTGAAAAAAAATTTGTTAACTACTCATATTAATTTTCTCGACACTGAATTCATATCTAAGAAATTTTAATCTAATAATAAAATTAAGCATAGTTTTATTTTGTCAGTAACTGTTGTGTTAACAGTGAGAATTATGAAATTAGTCAACATATTAATACCAAAATTTTACCACTGCGGAACAAAATTCGTCAAACTACAAAATTTATCGAGATCAATAAATGGAAATCACAACTCGTTGGCATGGGTGGTAATACAAAGTGATCTACGAAGACTTCTTGATTTGAAAATTCAATAAAAAAATAACTAGTAAAGAAATCATTACAATATAAATTGTATTAAAATATTTAATTTAATTCTTGCATCATTTAATTTTAAAGATCAAATGACGGCCCAATTGTCAATTAAAGTAATCCGCTTTTTTGAAGTTCCGTTCAACTAACTCCTCGAAAATCTAAACAATAATATTCAGCCTAGCCCTGTACAATAGGAATGGAATACGAGTGATGCATGCGTTACTAACTGAAAACTGGCAGCGCTCTGCACAATTGCAAAAATTGTTGAAATACCGCCGCCAAGCCCATGTGATGACTCAGCGAAAAGTTGTTAGTTCATTTCTGAGTAAGCTGCAAATTAAAAGGGACGGATAACAATTTTGTTAGTTTAATGGTTGAAGATTAATTATTTATCGAACAAAATTGTTAATTAATTTTTAATTAAATAATCATTTTGGAGTACATTGGAGTTTGAATCCTGTAGTACAAAGTTCAAAGAAAAAAATTTAGCTGAACTTGTTTCGAAAGTTCTCAGAACGCAACCTTATTAACAGTTGTCCACAGCATAACGTTAGCATCGACAAAGTCTGTTTTTTCATGAACTTTCAAAATTTCTCTGAAAGCAGAAACAAACCACATTGTCGTCACGTCTTTGTGCTGGTGGCATCTACCGTGACCGACGAGCTCAGCGCCCGGTCTACAATTTTCCAGAAATGCGCCGGAAACAAAGAACTCCGGGCAGGTCAAATCGGAAGATGTCCTTTGAACTTGCCTGAGATTCCTGAACAAAGAACGTGCGCGAGAAAGATTCCAGATGGGCGGAGATAATGAAAAAGAGGCTGCATACTAGGCCTACCTACGCATATATAAGCCTCATCAACCTAACACATGCATACACATATTCAGTCGTCAGTGTTGAGTGAAGATCAAGCAGCAGGCGTTCAAAAATGGTTAAGGTGAGAAACGATTTCAAACTTTCTATCTTTGAAACTTCAAATGAATATCAAATTTATTGTGTGACAATGTATAATTTTTATGAAGCTTCGTGCGATGAGTCTCAAATGCTCCTTCCTCTCTGGTATGACTTCTAACCAAAATGGTATCAATTAGATTAATTGCATCTTTCTGTTACTGAAAATGAACAATATGATCAATAATGCTTGGAAAATAAGACACGAGTGAATAATATTCCGGTCACAGTGAAGTTATTTGCAATATAGTATTTGCAGCGTATTAAATTGCCATTTTCAACATCGCGTGGGTGCATTGCGAATTTGCTGGGTTACTGTTACAGTCGTTTGCTGGCAAATTGAAGTTAAGGATAGAATAAAATGCGGCATGAAAGTTTTATTTTCACACTAAATGTGTGTTTGTTAATTTTATTCGCGAGTTTCTTGTCCACAAACAGAAACTATAATTGCTTAGAATCTCTTATTACCGTTGCGTGTTTAAAATTTGTAACAATCTATTTACGAATAAATCTATATATACAATGCTTCTTCATGCTTTTTGATAGTTTTATTTGAAGGATTTATTAACTGAAATCGCTTATGTACTTTGAACAAAATTTTCGTTTTTTCATGTGTGCAAATAATTAGTTAATACCTAAAAGAAGTTTTGTTATTAAAAGGTGTTCTCTTCATATTATGATGATAACTTTTGGTCCAAACTTGAATTATAGTATTATTATAGTATTAACATCATTAGAAAGTAAATCACATGTTAAGGTGAGCATTCTTGATTATGGCATGGAAAAATTGCTGGCTCCAGCTGATAACCATTAAAACGTTGGGATGAGTACAAATAAATTAAATAAAAACTTTCGCATAAGACTGAAAGGAAAATGCTAAAACTGCCACAAAGCCAAACTAAATGCATTTGAAACTTCAACAATAGTGTATTTATTATTTTGTATGTATTGCATTGCAATATTCGTGCGTAGTCGATTTTCATGGCAAATTCGTCACAAGAAACTATATTGAGGTATTATTATGAATTGCATGAGAAGTATAGATATTTATAGGGAACGCAATTAATGATACTTCCGATATTCGGAATGAATTCTTGTATGTATGATTTTTATACCAGATCATTTTATTAACAACTGAAACGTGAAACTAAAGGTAGGGCAAACAATATTCCTCTCTTTACAACTATTTTTTACTTAAGCGTTTTCTCTCTGCGCTAAATGATAGAGCTGAAGCTACCCTCAGTATTCTGATGAGCTGTTGCGTGTGTTGCAGGTACGATTCGTGATGGTGGCTCTGATGCTGGCTCTCCTGGTGCTCCCGGAGAGCGATGGAGCGCCTACACTCCTCACAAAGGCTCAGCTTCACAAGAAAATCAAACTCGGAGGACTGGTTCTTGGCAAAGGGCTAAAGAAAGATGGTTTCGGTGGCAAAGGTGTCATCGAAACCCCGGTCGTGCAACCAGTCGTCTACCAGCCAGTGCTACCAGTCGTATACCACCCGGTGGCTGTGGCTGCTGTTCCTGTTATAGAAGAGCCATCCTTTAAATCCAAGAAGGCGGGATTTTTCGACAAAATTGTTGGAAAATTGGTAGCCAAAAAGATTACAGGATAAGAAAAGTTGTTAATTTTGTGTTTTTTCATCCTTTTATCTGGATCAATCCATGTATCATTAACTATCACTAGTTTGGTCTCAAATAAAACATATAAAGTTATTACTAATGCCTGGATAGTGCGCGAAAACATCTTGTGTATCATCAAACTCTTAACGTGACAAGTATTCATGATTTCTTATAATCAGAAAAGCTCATACACATAAAAAAGCTTTAAATCTTGGCTGTGTTATACAAATAAGTTTTAATGTGAGGAATTTTCGAAAACGATGCGATGAATGATTACATCTTTCGTCTCAAATAAGTCGTGTGTCGATGTCAATGAAGGAAACACCTGAAAAGTTATGAAGGGATTCTGACAAGAGAAGGCCGTTAATTGTGCGACTAACCATTGCATAGTTTTTATTCGTACAAGTTTTTTGGTTAATTTTTAAGTAAAACATTTTCATGAGACTAATTGGGCGAAACACAACGTATGTTTTTCACGGCATCTCAAAGACGGAGGCCAGCAGCTCTTAAATTGGGCGTCGCAGAGCTGCAAAAATATCCGCGATATTTGGTAGTCAAGCGACGCTCCCAGACCAGGTGTCGAATATCAGAGTGTTGGTTGAATTATTTCCTTAGAGTAACTGGTAAATTTACATTTATTTCTTGGCCATTTCTTTACAAGAAATGGCCTTGGCATTTATTTCTCGGCCACGCACGGCTAAACTCAAATATTTGTGTAATATGTAACGCCGTATTTATTTATATATTTTTAGGTTTCTAAGGCATGCCGGATCTAAGGCACGATGATATTGTTAGTTGGATTAAAATTATATCATTTCCGTCATCAATATAGATAATATTATTGTGGCAGTAAAATCTTCACTAATCCACTTAATTGTAGCGGGCCTCACAATACCTCAATTTATTCTAATGGCTTAATAAATGCAACGTCAATAAATATTTAATATATGAAGTAACTTTCCTTGTATCTTCTGCAATATCTAATTAAAATTATAAAAAAATAACAACTCAACATAAGTATTTATTAGTCTACTGCAACTCTGGACTGAATGCTGAACCCTGAACTGGAGATTCAAAATTAAAGATAAGTGCGCTCGTGACACTGCCGAGTGGACTCCCAACATCACCGAAGGTTGTTATATTTTAGCTCTGTACTGAACCCTCAACCTTACGGAGATTGTGATCCAGTATTTCTGCCATAAACACTCAACATTATTTTGCGGGTTGTGATCTTGCAGTTCTAGATTGAGCATCTATAACGTTACTGAATGTTACTCTCTTGAAACACAAAATTCGAATCGACGCTCAAGTTTACTTGATAAATTTTATTTTCCGGCAGCTGTTGAAAATGTGCCTTTATTCTTAAGATCTAAATATTCAGGTAGTCCGATTGGTTATAATTTAACAGCCTATTTTCCTTAACTTAAAGTTTGAGGTTAACACCATATAGTCTAAAACCAAATTCATTGATTAATATACAGTTCGGAATTTGGAGCCGGATTCATAAATTTCAATTAATGTTAAATGCATTAATCGCGGCAACCCTGCTATCACTTTGACTGATCATTTCTAAATTGCAAACAAGGAACCATCTACTCGGCCACAACGTCACGAAAGTACGTCTTCGTCTAAACAGTCAGTCTTTAGCAACACATGGTCATGTAAAAAGTGCCTCCATGCAGTCACCTTCGATTTTCACGCTCAACTTATTTGCCACTAAACATCTTTGGTCAATCCCTATGAAGAGATAGGGAGTTCGGTGGAGTGACTGGCGGCGGGATGGCGGGGGCCTTCTACGTTGCTACCTTCGGCACTAGTTTTGGACGTCTACCGCTCATACTAACGGCGATGGAAGTTTGATGCGGCGACGTTCACCACACGGCAAAGATCCTATGGAAATCTGATATGGGTGGCAGGTGATTGTCGCGCATTACCTTGTTACCCTTAGAGTCCCATCAGGCATCAACTCCTTCACTTGCTCTTAAGAACCTTCATTTTACCGGAGGATTTGAAAAATGGTAAATCCAAATTCCCAAATGAATATTACCAAATTTATATTATTAACTAATTCGTACTATTACCAAATTTGTGTTATTACCTAATTAATGTTACCTAATTCTTAATGTCACCTAAATTTGCCATTACCTAATACATTACCTAGCTCGAACTAATACCTAAAATGTCATTTACCGAGTAGCCATTACCTTGAATATTCAAATTGCTACCTTAACATTTTACCAACTAGCTCCAGTGCTTTAGCTCTTTATTACCTTACCTTAAAACTTTACCTTACCTGCTAGCACTGAGCTCATTACCTAATATTACCTCGAGTAAATATTTTCCTCCAAGATATTGAACGGTTACCATTACCCAGTGTACCTGCGTCTTTACCTAGGTATATTTTGATACAATCTATGTTTAATATCCGGGTTCAAAATTCTTACCAATTCAAGTTGTTTTGCGTCTCTCATAATTTTAATTATTTTGATATTTGTGCTTCATCCTCCTTTTCGGAGCCGCGGGTGGCGGAGGGCCGGGGGAGCGCCACCGACAGGCTTGACCTGTCCTTACCGACCGTCATTTACACTACAGTTTCATTCGCTCGTTAAATAAAAATTCTTTGAATTGAAGCTTAATTTATCCCCCACTCGCCATAGTTTTCGAAAGCAGCTACAGGCCGAACATGAAGAATAGTGGCATAAGTTTCCATTGCGTATATATCCATGAGAATCCGTTTCGAAGGCACGTTAAAGAAAATGTTTAATATACACTATTCATCCTAAATTTCTTCTACGTGCATGAAGAAGCTATATTATTACGATTAATCATTCCATTTATGAGCAAATATTTATGAAGTAATTCTTCATGCAGCTACATTTCGTTTAAAACTTTATATCCCGCGCGCTGACCATTAAGTTTTTGGGTGGCAGTGAGCGGGCAGATCAGCAACCACGAAACGGACGTCTAATGAAGCATCAAAAGATTTCTTTGATGCCATGACGAGCTCTCTAATTTATCTCCAAGTCTCCGAAATTCAGTTCAAAATCTCTTTAGTTTTACATAAAATATAGACCCAGTTCTCCGGAATAAAGTCTGAAGGAAACACGATTTATTTTCAAGCCCATATAATTCAGCTTTCAACTCAGTCATAGTTTAAGTGCCAAGTCAGGCTCCGAGTTTTTAATCAGTTTGGAAGGAATTAAATTTCCTGGAAAATTATTATTATAGCCAATCGCGTAAAATTGGTCCCTCATATGTTCTATACAGTTAGCATAGTAGCTTTAGATTTCTAAAAATGGATGAACTTATCTAAGTTTGTAAGTTGGAAGTAGAACTTCTAAACATACACTGGTGGGATTGTCAGTACATAACAATAACCTAAATTTGACTGGGTAAATGATTTACGGATCAATATTTATTTTTAATACTGGTATTGTACATTTTTTATCAGTCAACGATTAAACAAGGGCTTCATAAAAACAGTTTACGAAAGTTTTAATCAATTCTATGAAATTCGTGTATAACTATATTCGGACGGTATTTTTTTTCTCAAATTGAGCACATCTTGATATGTTTTTTAATTATCATTCGATTACAACTTTCATCCTTAAACTTTTACTCCGAATTTTTAACACGCATAAAACGTGTATTTTGATAGCGGATGTTCAAAAATTGTTGCCACATAAATTAAAAAATGCCATTATTGATTGCATCACCTTAACTTCAGTTGAATTAATTGCGCTTAAATTCTTGCTCCATATATTATTCGATCGCCTGCATCAAAAAGGCGCATTCACTTCATTTTTGACGTACGTCTCTTGCGATAAATGGACAAATGACATTTACCACGTAACCGTTATCAAGACTGCGCGCGTTGAATGAAAATGAAAATATTTTGAAATATTTTTTGTGTTATGCGAAACTTGAGCAAGAGTTATGCCTGCTAAAATAATTTACTTAATAATAGCAACTCTAGGACTTTTTGCTGACACATGATACATTTTACTGAATCTATGTTGTCACCATTGTGAATGACGAATATGGAAAGTAAAATTCTTCATTTTTTGCTAATGAAATATCAATGCATTTATTGCTGACAACAAAACTTCGTTTCTGCAACAGAATCAAACGCCAGTAAACAATATAATTTATGAAATCATTGAAATCAAATTTTCATGCAAAATCTCGTTTATTCGACGCGCATTCATTCCGAAATTCTGCCTGGCAAATTCTTGTGATGAACATACATAAGGAGAATCGTCGCCCGATAAATTTTTATCCGCCTCACCTCATATGGACATCGCTCAATTGGAAAGTCTGAAAATTTTTCAAGCGATGAATTTTCCTAAACGACTTTAGCGATGAATTTCCTAAACGGCTTAAAAAATGTACTTTAAAAAACGCTAAATGATGGACGATAGCTGAAGCTACCCTCAGTATTGTGATGAGCTGTTGCGTGTGTTGCAGGTACGATTCGTGATGGTGGCTCTGATGCTGGCTCTCCTGGTGCTACCGCGTAGCGATGCCTTTCCCCTCGATATGCTCACGATATGCGCGCTTAATGGGGGAATTGGCCTCCAAAGACTAACTCGTGGCAGACTCGGCGCGAGTAATTCCTTCTTCCGAGTGCCTATGTTCCCTTCAGTCATCCACTCTCCCCAGGTGATGGATGCTGCTGATGTAGCGAAGTCACCTAGAAACTCAATATTCATTGAAAGACTAGTTAGTTCGAAAATAAAACAAAGTTAATGATGCGCATACTGTTTTAGAAGTTTCTTTATTGATCCATATTGCTCGAGCAATATATATATAACGTGATGAATCTTGAGCATAGAAGAGTGACTTGAAACCTGACATGATATCAATAAAAATGTAATATCAATCAATTACTGATTAATTGAACCATGCTCTCCGCATTGCGTATAATTTTAAAGTCATTTTAGTTATGCATGATTAGTAGAAAATACAGTGTACTGAATATCAAACATAATAATTAATGTA